GCACACGGGACATTGCGGAAAGGAGGGAGCAATTGGCCGATATTGAGGGTGATATTCGCTATCGTGATGTGGTGTTATTTTTGAGGCGCAAGGTTCAAGAGAGATACTCCACGACGGTACTTGCTGGCAGTACAGGGGCGGGTGTGACACCGCCGCCGACGCAGCCTTCAGCTGCTCGTGAATTTGCTATTGTCTCGTCTCTTCACGTGGACGCGAAAATTACGTGCGTGTGGTTGCCTGCTGAAACAACGGTGTGGCTGCGTGATGTCGCGTTTGTGAAGCGCCACGGGGAGTCCAATTTTTCGGTTGGGAATGTCACATTGGTTGCGGGGGGAAAGTCTCAGCTGCTACGGGCGCCGGATTCGGGGGAACCGTTTTTTTCTCTTCAGCAAACCGAAAGCAATGGCATGACTTTTGTCAGGACGACGTTAGAAGCATTGCGTTTTATCACCACATCTAATTGGATGCTGCAATTGGTTCAGCTTATCATGGTTGCCATGCCACACGTTCTGCGGGCGATTCCAGAAACAAATTGTAATGCACCGGAGACTAAATTGAGTAATTGATGTGAAAAAACCACAAGTTTTGTTTTCCCATTGATAGATTTTCATGTGGATGATTTGCGGTTGCATTTGAAGCAACTATCCCTGACGCATATAGAGCGAACATCCGGTGACTCACGTGTGGGTCTTTTGATGAAGGAATTGTCTGTGCTTTTTGGCGAGGAAACGGACGTGCTATCACCCATGAAGGTGGAAATGACTGAAGAGGAGGATATCTTGGTGTCTGCGGTGACGTTAAATGTATCGAATGCGCTGTGGGAGTATTTGTGCCACGTTCGAACTGAGTGGAACGATGCCCTACTACGGGTTAGTAACATGCCAGGCTTTGTATCAAGAGTGCAGTCAACAACGGGTAACACACAGATAAAAAAGTCTTTCGCAGAGGTGTGTTGTGAGGCTGAATTAAAAGAGGAGTTTAATTCCGCGTTAAAATTACAGCGGACATATCTCTTGGCTGTCGTTATTACTTTTGAACCCTTAAATCTCCGCATGCAGCTGGGAACTATGAATACGTGGAGAGGGGCACAAACGTGTGGTTTTCCTTTGGTGCATGCGAACATATCATCGTTTGAGTTTTCAACAGATCATGTGGAAGGAGGTGTATTGACGGTGACGTGCCCTAGCGGCATTTTATACTCAAAAACAAGTTCAACAAGTGACGCTTCACGTGTGAATGTGTCGATAGGGGTACTGGAATCAGCATGGAAGGCGTCCTCCACAAGAAATTTATTGCATATTGATGCTATGCAATTCCATGTATATGGCGATGCGACGCACTGCTCCGCTGAAACGCTTCGGTCTTGGATGCTCTGACATTTGCCCCAATAAAGTGCTTTTACTGCCGCCAGTTGAGTTCAATTCCAACAACCGCACGACCGTATCTTGCGTCCTCTTTGCAGGTTTCAGTGTGTCTTGCGGAGGTCTGTATGCAACGACTCGTTTTTTTTGGAATTGGATTTGTTGGGAACTTTGATAAAAAGTCACGCCACCTTTTTTGTGAACAACCTTGTGCCTACAGAAGCATACCGACTGCTTTTTAGTGGTTTTAGCAATTTGGCCTTCGTCATGTACGCTTCTTCTTGTGCAGTTAAGTTTGGCGGGGGTGAAGCTTTAATGTGCCGAGTGAATATGCCCTCAATAAATGGTGGTGCGGGTGCGCCACTTTTGAATTTTGGTGAACTTCTTCCTGAGCTACGGGAGGCATCACCATTGACGTTGATCAACGTTTGTGAAAAGCTTTTAGCGAATATAAGTATGCCCCATCTTGAGGCGGAAGTGTTTCACCACCGATTTATCTCCATTGGTCTCTGCGCAACTGTTTCTTCCTTCACAGCCACGCTACCCATTGCTGTAGAGGACTTTTGGGATGACGCCGTACACGCGGTAAAACGCTCACCCGCTGAATGCACTGCTCCTTCGATTAAATTGAATGTGGGCGATATGATCCGGCTGGAGGTTGAAGGGGTGAAATATGCCCAGCAATCTGCTCCCTTTCCCGAGGAATTAAGTGGAGTATTTAGTGATTGCGACATGGATAGCGACACATCAGTTGTGGCCTGTGAGAAGTACACTCACGCAGTGGTGAAGAATTGGAACGTGCATCTCAAAGGGGTTTCTGAAGAGGATGCCGTGAAAGAATTGTTGGGATCATGGATGGAACTTCGGCACATGATGAATTCAATTCAAAGGCGGAATGTGGTGAACTGCACTTTGCTACGAGGTGGGCATTATAATTTGGACCGGACCGGTCCGTGGTTTTTTGACTCTCCAGGCGAAATGGTTTTGGTGGAAGACTGCACCTTTCTTTCCTGCACCTCAGGAATGCACATGGTGGTCTGCAGTGGGACCCATGTGTGCTTTCGCCGATGCCACTTTTCTTCTTTTTTTCAGCATGCCATCACTGTTGAGGACGAATGTGCCTCGTTTGTGTGCGACAACTGCATTGGAGAGGATTTCGGCGGCGAGTCAAACGCGACCGGCGCTCAGGCGGAGGTGGAGAAGAAAACGGTGCAAAAATTTTTATTCTTTTTTCATCGCGGTGCTGTATGCTTAACACTGCGCGATGAGTGCAGACTCACCCTGAATCTCTCAACGGTGGATCTGCGTTTTTTCACATGCTTCAAGAAAACCGTCTCTCATCTGCGCTTGCAACGAGGACGGCTTGAATTTATGGAAAAGGGTGCGCTACACGGTCTGGTTTCTCGTATGGATTTGGACTTGGATTGGACGCTGAGGCACAGGGATGACTACGCAAAATTGAGTTCATCCTTGCGAGTAGGGAGTGTGAGTATACCCGTTTTGTTGTTTGGCACAATGCGTTGCCTGAGAGGAGTGTGGAACGCCGAAGTACCCTTTTCCGAGGCTTCAGTGCGAGAGTACCCATCGCCTGTGAAAACACGCGGCTTTTCAGTTGCCAGGTGGAAGGCACTTGTGAGAGTGTCCATCATTCCTGTTGAATTGTGTCCACCGAGTTGTGGGGCGCCATTGATAAGCTTTATCCTTGATAGCACTTCGGTTGTGTCAAGGCGGGAAACAACAGGGGAGGCTTTCCTGGAGGCTCGATCAGGGATACAGCAGCTCTCTCTCTCTGGGAATTTTCTTCGCAATCGCATGTTTCACTTTTACGGAATCTGCTCTCTGTGCTGGTGGTTGCTCGCATGGAGGATTTTTCTAGTGCGTCATGTGACGTGTCTGTCTCCCCATGTGAGCTTTCTCTCTCCAGCGAGCAAATCAAGTGCGTTTTGTCCCTCTTGACATTTATGCAGGGCTGTGACGACGCTGAGACGGTGCCGTATGCAGTGAGGCTGGAGAACTACCTGGGCGTAGAAGTGACGTTGCAGGATGCGACGGAAGAATTTGTTTTTGGCGAGGGTCTCACCCTTGAAAAGAGAACGTTGTCTTTCCCGGATTGTCTTCAGCTGATTGATGGAAAACGCGTGGATCATTTCGAAAAGGGCGAGATATCATTTTCCGACAATAAACATGCCGTTCTTCTTCATGCTGAGAAGGTGGCTGTTCTTGAAAATGGCGAGCACATTCATATCTCCACAAGTTTGCAGCCCGGTACCCTCGCACAAAATGTGACGTTTCGAACAGCTTTTCACGTCAAGAATTACTTATCCCATAATATATCGTTTCGTTCAATGCGTCAAGGGAGTGAGGTTGCCATGATCCGCCCAGGGGAGCTCTCTTGCATTCCTCTTAGTTGCCTCGACTCCACAGACGTCGTCACACGTTTGGCGTCGATTGAAGACAATAATAAGTCACGTGATGAGCTGCTCTGGGAGGAATCACCGCGTAAACTTCTTGAAGTGGCACTTTCACGTGGCGAAGACTCCATTGGGCGTCTCAAGGAGTTTTCGTTTGCAGAATCTTCGGCGTATGTTGATGTAACGTATCTTTTAAAGGGTTGTTTGCTTACCATGCTTTTTGCCCCAGCCCGACCAGGCATTCATAACGGCACGCGATTCCCTATAAGAGTGCCTCTGTACATCCGTGACGATTTTGTTGAAGAGGCAGTTGTGGATCCCGACAATACGTTTGTGACACTCCGGCACGATCCGTTTGGTACTCCCGTGGCTTATCTTTTTGAATGCATCGTCTTTGACAAGCGATACGTTGCCAATGAACAAGTTGATTTAAGCGCGATTGACCCCGCGGAGGGAGAGTGTATTGTGATGAAACACGAGAAGTTTCCTCGACGTTACTTTTTTGAGTTAAACATCTAAAGCAGACAACTGAATGCATTGGATGGCGTTGCTCCGGTCTACAGTGTGGTGCCACGGTATATATTTGGAGTAGAGAATAATTCGCAGATGGATGTTGAATTTGTATCTGAGGCAGGGGATTCCATTGGCACACTGGGTGGAGGGGTTCCTTCATGTTCTTATGGAAAAAACTTTGCCTATCTCCCGCTCCATGCATCACTTGTATTGCGTGTAGAGGAAGTAACATCATCGACGTTTGAGGTGAATGAGGGTCTGGAAGAACAAATGCTCCCCTGCAATGCCCCCGAAAAGAGAGAGGCACCGTGTGGTTCTCACTGTTTCCTCCTTCGTGCAAAGGCTGACGCGACAGAGAAGACGATGGAGTTGGTTCCGGCGCTGTTTATTGTCAACATGGATCCCACCCGTAGCCTGTTTGTGCAACACACCATTGGTTCCAAGGATACGCTCAGGAGCGAGGTGCAATGGGTTAATCGTGTAGTTTTGCCGGCTGCGGGTGTGCTTCCCTACACATTTATTTTGTGCTACGGGTATGTGGACCTGTTTACATTTTCTTGGGAGGAAAATGGCGAGGCGCATTCTTACTCGGCCCCGGTCGAGGCGGTATTTTCT